AGACAGCCTCTTCCCAATATGCGTTTTTGCAATTTGCATATATGCAAAAACGCATAAAAACACATATAAAATGGCGAGGTCCGGGCCTAATTTAAACAACAACCAAGTAACTTGTACTGCTTCAACAAATTTTCAGGCAGTGATGACAATTCTTACATTGGCAAAAAAGCAAACATTCAAAAATGTAATAAACACTGTTTTGCTTCGCGGCGCTAAAACAAACAGTCCGTGCTTAAATAACTTGTGCCTGATGCAACTGGCAACTGCTAATATTTCAAAAACAGCAAAATAAGTGGAGCCTCCAAAAAACTTACAGACACCCTCTTCTCAATATACGTTCCTACACTGCACGTACATAAAAACGCATAAAAAGTTGGACTTAGAAATGAATCGAATCAGGGACAAAAAAATGCCGAAGGTCCAACATCGTGGAGTCCCGATCTACGACCAGTGTTGGCTCTGCGCGTGCATTGTTTCCACTGTTCTCGACTAGACTCGTGTTGTGGAAGATGCTGTGCCGCAACACTAGTAAAAAATTTATAAACCTTCATTTTTACTAGCAAAACAATGGTACACAGCGGCTGGTAGCACAAAACCTGTCTCAAGGGTGTGCAACGGAAGAGAACGAGGCAGTAGAACGAGGCACTTGCAGAAAGCAGTAGCTATCGTATGTGAATATTCCAGAGAAAAGCAATTATCACGTAAAGATGGAACATGCAGGAATCAAAAAGGGTGTGAGATACATAGACAGACCCTGTTTGAAAAGGACATCTCCAGTACAGCACAACAAACATCAGTACGATGCCCTTTAAAATGTTGCAGAGCTTCGCTCGGAGCACATTGCATTCATTCAATTTCGTCCTACGATCACTCTTCCATTCATGCAGATTTTCTGAAATTTTCAGCCCAGTGTAAAATTTTGTTGGTAGCCGTAAACGAAAGTGTGCGAAAATAAAAAGAGGTATTCATTGCTACACAATAAGCTTCAGAAGCAAGATGGAACTTCAAAAGCAGCTCAAAATTTCCTATTGGGTCCAGAAGTAAAGCCCAGATCCAGATATTCGCGAGAAACCGTCAGCTGGAGAAGTGCTGTACATCAGTACACGCAGCGCATATTGTTGCAAGAAGTGGAATGCAGAAACAGGAATGAATTTTGATAGATAGTGGCGGCAGCTCGGCATCTCAGTGAAGCAAACGCATGGGACTGCTCGAAAACGAATTTCGAAGAAGCCGGTTTTCGGCTCTGAAAAAAAAACACACACACACTCAGGCAAACTGTGTTTGTTAATTTAAAACACTTTCACCTTCATTACAAATTACGCAACAAAAGTTCATTGAAAATTTTTTGAAAATCGTTATTCCTCAGCTATTTAGAAACATTACAATAGAATTTGGAAAAAGGAAAAGACCTGGAAAACCAATTAGCGTGTCTGAAGGTCAAATCAGTTACTCGGTTTTGGAGATAAGGTTGGCTTGTCAAAGTATGTCAAAACACTCAGGGGTTTGGTTTGTTGTGTCACGATGATAATTCAGCCATCAGGGTTTCGAAGTGACACCTATCCTATTTTACAACCAGTGTCTGAATCTGAATTTGACTTCATAAATCAACTCAGGCTACAACGCACCAGAACTGCCAATTGTGCGATCATGTATCTTTGCGCTAAGCTTGAAGATCACTAACAGCAAGAATATTTCCTGCGCTGTACTTTAACACTTGGACTCACATTGGCTGTGTTTTGGCCCCTTCCCATATGCAAAAAAAAGAACATCGACCGGAATGAGGGTGTTGCATTACAAGGCCGCATAAACCTCCAGCGCGCATGATTATTAGTTTTTTGCATGAAGCCCGGTCGCTTTTCCGGCATATGCTCGTTCACTGAAAAAAAAAAGTGCAAATTTTAAGGAAATCGGAAGAAGAATATGAAATCTACAAGATGTACTCGCCTTTGAGTATACGATAAAACTGAGTATTTGTCACGCCTTCGTGCATGCAATTTCACCTCCAAGCTGAACTAGGACCAAATATAGAACATCTTTGCATAGTTTCAGCTTCACAGCTTGCCTGGTAAGCGAAATAGCCACTTCACTACAAATATCTTTAAAGTGCCCTAAGCCGCGGCGCAACTGCAAATCGAAACTCACTTTAGGCACACGATTTCCGGCATAAATGATAAATACTCGGAAAAAATTACAGTTTTCGGCTAGTTTTCTAGTTAGCATAATCCAGCTACGAAGTTCGATGTGACCTTACCAGCCTTATAAGCGTGCGCGATGGCAGAATTTGAAATCTTTAGCTCGCACATGCATAGAGAATATCCTTGCAAATTTTCAACTTTCCATCTTGTTTGGTTCGCGAAATCGTTTCCTGCTAAAGAAATTTGCATATTTTTTCGGGAGCCCGTATGCAAAATCTAGGTGCGTATGAGCGAAAATTTTCAAACGGAAGGTGACGCATGGAGCAGGAGTATGATCCCAAAATTTCAGCCTTCCAGCTTTCCTTGTTGCTGATTTGAAAGTGGGTGGCAAAGTCACTAGATTCCGAACATACATACACACACAGACTACCTCTCGGCAGCATGTGTTTTTATTCGCTGTAGCACCGCTACACATACGTGTAAACTAAGTTACTAAAGTTTAAGCCTTGCAGCTTTTATGGATCTCTAAATGAAAACTCATTACAGACTAAATTTTTTGGATCCATTTTTTTGAAGTTTTAGAAAATTAGAGGTAATAAAGTGGCGCAACGAAAATGATGGTGTCGGAAAAGATTTGTTATTCTGTTCTACCAAAACAAGGGCCCGCGAAAGTTTTTTGAAAAATACTTTTACTGCTGTTTTCTGTTGGTGCTTGGGCCAAACAATTATCTTATAATAAAAACAAAATTACATAGGTTTAACTAAGAAAACAAATGTGTCCGCTCAAGTTGTATTTTAGTTTATAAACATTGCAGGCATAGTCTGACTGTTGGCACATGTACGTACGTAACTGAAAATTTTTGAAATATCCAGTGTGAGTTCCAAGAGGAAAAACTTTGATGGAACTTATTTTTGTGCACAGAGCCGACCAATCTTTTTACTTTAAGGGATACACCAGCGTACTGATTGGTCGTCATTCTCAATTTCTGTTACTGCAGCGCTTTCGATAATAAAACCAGTACCAAGCAATGTCTGCGATATCGATATCTTTTTTAAAATAACGGTCTTTGCGTTAAATTCATTGAGGATGGAAGGGGGAAATTGCGAAACTGTAATGCAAGCAGCAGAGTAAATTGACAAGAAAGGAAAAAATATCAGTAGCATCAGATTTACCAGTTTTGGTGGATAAACATACACAACGCACACACAGGCAACCCCTCGACAATATGCGTTTTTGCATTGCAGAGATGCAAGAAAACGCACAATAGTCATGGCTGTGCAAGTGAATCGAGAACACACCCCATTTTCCTGAGAATAGCGACGTTCAGTTTGGTGTTTTTTGAATAAAGTGGCAATTCTACCTCTATTAGGCAAATTTAATATTTAGCACCTGATGTAACATTACAGTTTCTAGGTTGAATTTTGCAATTTCTAGCATAGTTCAGCGCTTCGCATCAATACTCACGTCCTGGTTAATTTCTGCACTCTCGCTAGACTTAATTCTCAATTTTCACACTTTTTCCATTTTCCACTTGAGGAAAAAAATGTCTTCCGAGTGCAAAAGGAAATGCGACCGCCTCATTCGTCGCTTTTTTTAAACACACTGATGAAGTAAGTTAATGATTCATGAAAAAAGTTTTAAAAGCTTACAAATGCACTTAATTCGCAGCACATCCGCAGAAATGAAAAATCGTCCCCCAGCCGTCGATTTTGAAATTCATAATATCCTTGTAGCGACTTTGATGATTTTTGAAACGCTCCCATATAAGCCGGCAAACTTCCTTGATTTTCAGTTGAGTGCTATATGTTGGATTGTCACGGACTCGATGAAGAATACGTCCAAGCAACGTTGTCAATGAAAATCGGCGAGAACGTGGCCAAGATGAGCTCCCTAAGGTACGCTGATTTTGAAAATGGAATAAATAAACATATGCATCAATATTTTTTACATTGTTCTGCTTCTCCGCTAGCTGAAACACTAAACACAGGCTGCAACGCACCAGGCATGCCAGCGCGATCACGCGTTTTTGCACGAAGCTTGCAGATCATTAAACAACAAGAATGTTTCCTGCGCTGTAGTTTAACACTTGGACCCATACTGGCTGAAGTTTGCCCTTTTTCTGCATGCTGAGGAGAAGGCTCTAGCTGAGACGAAAAATGACTGTTATTTTTCGCGTAAAGGTCGTTTTTCAGGTGAATGTTCGTTGATCGAAAAAGTGCAAATTTGAAAGAAATCGGAGGAGGATTATGAAATATGCAAAATGCACTCGGTTTTGAATTTGCGGTAAAACAGAGCAGTTGTCATGTCTGCGTGCAGGAAATGTCACCTCCAAACTGAATTACGACCAAATATAGAATATCCTTGCACAGATTCGGCCTCGCAGCTTGCCTGGTAAGCGAACTAGCCAATTCGCTACAAATATCTTTGAAGTGCCCTAGGCCGTGGCGCAACTGCAAGTCTCAACTCACTCTAAACACGATTTCCGAGATGAATGATGCTCTGATAAAATTTCAGCTACCGTTTTTCGGCTAGTTTTCGAGTTAACATAACTGCAAAGTTTGACGTGACCGTACACGCGGTATAAAAATACGTAGTGGCTGAATCTGAAATCTGTACCTCACACATGTACAGAGAATATCCCTGCAAAGTTTGAGCTTTCTGTCTTGTCTGTTTCACAAAATCGTTTTTCGCCACAGAAATCTGCATTTTTTTTCGGGAGCCCATATGCTAAATCTAGGCGTGCATGAGCGATGATTTTGAAGCGAGAAAGTGAGACTTTGGGTAGGAACATGACCTTAAATTTTCAGTCTCCCAGCTTTCCTGGCTGCTGAGTTGAAAGTGGGTAACAGAGCTCACTCGCTTCCGAACACACACACGAACGACCTCTCGGCAATATACGTCTTGGACGGGGAATATCACCCTAAGATTTCAGCTTTCTAGCTTCTCAAATCCCCGAGTTATGAACTTACCCGAAAGAAACTTTGGCGGGCCCGTATGCGAGTACGACGTGGATAATGGCGCCCATTTTGGGGATTGGGGCCAAAGTTTCAGCCCTGTAGCTTTTGTAGGTCTTGAGATGAAAAACCGTGGCAGACGGCACACACGGACACACAGACACACAGACACACACACAACCCTTCGTCAATATGCGTGTTCTGCATTGCATAGCTGCAAAAAACGCATAAAAAGTGCTTACCAGCTTCGAGCGCTTCTTCAATCATTGATTTCCCAGATATTCCTGGATCTATTAACGCTTTGACGCCGGTGCAGTTAGTTGGTTTGGTAGACAATGTTGTCTCCTCAAAACGCAACTGTGTTACAGTGCTGAAGGAAGACATCAAAAAAAATATTTGCGAACAAGGCAGTCATCGAGCGCACGGGGATATTCTTTCACCACTGGCCGTGTTTTTTTATGTTTTTGCATATATGTAAATTGCAAAAACGCACATTGGGAAGAGGTTGTGTGTATGTGTGTCTGTGTGTGTTTCTCTCTGTGTGTCCGTTCGCACTTTTTGTCATCCATTTTCAACTCGAGAACCAGGGAAGCTAGAAGGCTGAAACTTTGGGAGTATGTACCCATACCGTGTGCGTCCTCCCGTTTTAATATCATCCCCTGCGGACACCTGGGTGCTGTGTACGGACGCTTTAAAAAATATGCAAATTTTTTGGCGGGAAAGCGGTCTTGGGAACAACATGAGCTAAGGGGCTGAAACTTTGCAGGAATATTCCTTGTGCACGTACTAGCTAAAGATTTCAAATTCAGCCCTCAAGCATACGTGGTACTCACGTAAGGGCGTATGAAAGTTTCAGGGGGAAAATTGCTAGCTCAGGTACCAGGAAAGCTAGAAAGTTGAAATTTTGAGGGAATGTTCCCAATCGAAGCACCACTCATATATTTCAAATTCAGCCCCAATCTGTGCATGCTACTTACGTAAGGGCGTATGAAGGTTCTAGGGGGAAAATTACTAACTCGGCAACCATAAGAGTTGGAAGGCTGAAATTTTAGGCGGATATTCCCTGTCCAGGTGCATTTAAAAATTTCAAATTCAGCTTTCCAAGCACGTGGGGTACCCAAGTACTAGTATGTGAAGGTTTTGGCGGGAAAGTTGCTAACTCTGCAACCAGAAAAGCTGGAAAGCTGAAATTTTGAGGAAATGTTCCCTGCCCAAGTAACCTAAGTATTTCAAATTCAGCCTTGAAGTATGCGTGGCTCTTACGTACGGGCACTTAAAAGTTTTGAACAAATTTCTCATTGAACAACTTGGTTACTTTTAAAGAACGGCTCTTAAATGGAAATTTTACATTTACTTTGCAAAATTTATGTTGATTTATGCTGGTTACCGCAAAAGGTAGATGTAAAGCAACAGCCATTCATAAAGCTAATGACCTGAGTAATTCAAGTCCGGTGCAAAAACACATGATCGCACGGGCCCGTCCGTTGCATTCCAGCCTGGGTTTTTTTTTTGCAGTAAGGTCGGATTTGTACCGTCCAAAGTTATACACAACAGGAATTGAAAAATTTGCGAACAGCAGAACCAATGGATACAGCTAAACAACCGCGACTAAAGTCTAAAGCCGTATCCTAAGAAAAACTGGGGTTGACGGCCGCAGCGGTGATTCGTTTTACAATCTTCCCAGTGTCAGTTTTGGTGAATGTCCAGTCTAAGATCTTCATGCGCCAATGGTGCTGACTGCTGCTCTGCCATGTTTCCGAAATTCCTTCAATTCCAGACCTTTTCATTCCCGAAGATTAAGCATTGCTTTAGTAATTTTTAAATGTTCAGCGCAGCTGTTCAAAAAAACCCTTTATAAAAGGAAGTCAAGCATGACCGCAAAGAAAAAAAAAAACAGTAGAAATAGCAACAATGTGACCCTTCACGTCAGAAGACTACACAGTTACAACAGTTACAAAATCTACTGCTCAAAGGGAAGAGAAAAAAAGCTTTTCAAAATGACATCACTTACAGAAACTTCCTGAAGAGGCGTAAGCGGCCACCCCTGTGGTTTCGTTTCAAAGTATGCAGTTGTATTCTGAAAAGGCTGAGCAGCTGTTGGACTATCCACGGAAAAGTGCGCCTGAGCACCAGGCGACGTCAAATACTGAACAAGTCCTGACTCTGATGCCGGTCGGAGAAGTGATTTAGCAAGAGCTAACTCTGCAGTTGCTGTTGAAGTTGGCAGAGCAAAGGCAAGTGTTGGTACCGATGACACTGCAGGTGGCGGCGATTCTGTTGAAACAATTGATAACGATGCTGACGGAAGGGGATGTGAAGGCAGTACAAATTCGCCGGAAGTGATCGACTTAACTACCGCTGAGACCGATGCATTTGATGTCAGTGAAGGCAAGAGTGATGGTACTGGTGTTGGCGACCTGCTCTGCAAAGCTGGTGCTGATGACGGCGAAAACGGCAAAGCTATTTCTGAAGAAAGTGGAGGTGAATGTTCAGATTGTGACAAGGGTGGATGTAACGAGGTCAAAAGAATAGGTTCTGGTAATTTTTCAAATGACTTACTTCGCGTTTGGGGTGGCACTGACGATGACGTTAGGCTTAACGTCAACGTGGGTCGCAGAGTTGACTTACGAAATGGTAGGCCCGCAGTTACTGCTGATAAAGCTGGCAATGCAGAGACAGGTTCTGGCGCCGATTTACCAGAAGTTTTCAATGCCGCTGCAGGCCGGCTCAGCGCAATCGGTGTTGACGACAGCGAAGATACTATGCTTTCTGGTGAAGATGGCTGAGGTGGATGCCGAGACGCTGACAAAATTTCCTGTAGGGACGTCAACGATGCAGGTTCTGTTAGTTCTGTAATTGGTGCTGATCGTGGCTCAGGTGGTACTGACGGTGACGGTCGGCGTGACGACGACATAGGACGAAGAGTAGATTTGGCAACAGGTAGTTTTGTGGCTACTGCTGATGAAGTTGAAGGAACAGAAGCAGGTACTGTCGCTGATGACATTACTGTTGGCTCGAATGGTGCTGATGGTCGTCGCGACGATGAAATAAGCAGCAGAGTTGATTTGTCAAGCGACGGTTCTGTAGTAACTGCCGATGAAGTTGGCGGAACAGAGGCAGATGCCGGCGCCGATGACTTTACTGCTGGCATGCGCGGTGGTGGCGGTGACGGTTCTTGTGACGACGACATAGGCCGCAGACTAGATTTGGCAACTGGTATTTCTGTAGTAACTGCTGATGAAGTTGATAGGACAGAGGCAGATGCTGGCGCCGATGATCTTATTGTTGGCTGGAGTAGCAGTGACGGTGATGGTAATCGTGACGGTGACATAGGCCCCAGAGTTGATTTGTCAAACGATGAATCTGCAGTTACTGCTGATGAAGTTGACGGCACGGAGGCAGGTGCTGGCGCCGATGATCTTATTGTTGGCTGGAGTAGCAGTGACGGTGATGGTAATCGTGACGGTGACATAGGCCCCAGAGTTGATTTGTCAAACGATGAATCTGCAGTTACTGCTGATGAAGTTGACGGCACGGAGGCAGGTGCTGGCACCGATGATCTTATTGTTGGCTGAAGTGGTACTGACGGTGACGGTGGTCGTGACGACCACATGGACCGTAGAGTAGATTTGTCAACTGGCAGCATTGTGACTACTGCTGATGAAGTTGGAGGAACAGAGGCAAGTACTGCTGCCGATGACTTAACTATTGGCTCGCGTGGTGCTGATGGTGACGGTTCTCGTGACGGCGATAACGGGCGCAGAGTAGATTTGGCAACTGATAGTTCTGTGCTAACTGCAGATGAAGTTGGCGGAATAGAGGCAGGTGCTGGCGCCGGTGACATTACTGTCCGCTCGAGTGGTACTGACGGCGGTCGTGACGATGACAGAGGCCGCAGAGCAAATTTGACAACTGTTGTTACTGCTGATGAAGTTCGCGGGAGAGAGGCAGGCGCCACCGCCGAGGAGTATAGTGCTGGCGATTCTTTTGGGACGCCTGATAGCGATGCTGGTGGTATAGGCAGTGATGGTGATAAAGTTTCCGGTGGTGCAGCAGGAAGGGCTGATGTCCTTGATAAAGGTGAAGTAAAGGGTGATGGTGTTGCTGACCGGTTCAGTGAAATCCGTGCTGATGACAGCGAAGATACGAAGCCTTTTGGTGAAGATGGCTGAGGTGGCCTTAGGGACCCTAGGGATGCAGGTTCTAGTAATTCTGTAATAGGTGTTGATCGTGGCTCGAGTGGTGCTGACGGTGTCGGTGGCCGTGACGACGACATAAGCCGAAGAGTTGATTTGTCAAGCGATGGTTCTGTGGTAATTGCTGACAAAGTTGGCGGAACAGAGGCAGGTGACCGCGCCGATGACTTTACTGCTGGCTCGAGCGATACTGACGGTGACGGTTGTCGTGACGACGATACAGGCCGCAGAGTTGATTTGTCAAGCGACGGTTCTGTAGTAATTGCCGATGAAGTTGGCGGAATAAAAGCAGGTGCTGGTGCCGATGACTTTACTGTTCGCTCGAGTGGTACTGACGGTGGCCCTGACGACGACACAGACCGCAGAGATGATTTGTCAAGCGATGGTTCTGCAGTAACTGCTGATGAAGTTGTCAGGACAGAGGCAAATGCTGGCGCCGATGACTTTACTCTTGCCTCGAGTGGTACTGAAGGTGGTCGTGTCGATGACATAGGCTGCAGAGTTGATTTGTCAAGCGGTGGTTTTGTAGCTACTGCTGATGAATTTGACGACACAGAGGCAAGTGCTGGCACCGATAACCTTGTTGTTGGCTGGAGTGGTACTGACGGTGACAGTGATCGTGAGGGCGATGTAAGTCGCAGAGTAGATTTCGCAACCCGTAGTTCTGTGGCAACTGCTGGTGAAGTAGAGGCAGGTGAGGGCACCGATGACCTTATCGTTGGCTCGCGTGCTGCTGATGGTGACGGTTCTCCTGGCGGCGATATACGTCGCAGTGTAGATTTGGCAACCGGTGTTCTTGTAGTTACTGCTGACGAAGCTGGCGGGGAAGAGGCAGGTGCCAGCGCCGAGGAGTCTAATGTTGGCGATTCTTTTGGGACGCCTGATAACGATGCTGAAAGTATAGGCTGTGATGGCGATGAAGTTTCCGGTGGTGCAGCAGGATCGGCTGATGTCTTTGATGTTGGCGAAGTAAAGGGTGATGGCGTTGCTGACCGGCTCAGTGCAATCCGTGCTGATGACAGCGAAGGTGCTAAGCTTTTTGGCGATGATGGCTGATGTGGTTGCTGAGACGTCGATAAGAGTGGCT